CTCTTCTTCCAGTGTACCCTACCTTGGTACCATGGCACCCCTATTCATAAGATTGCCTAGGCCCTAAATAACATTTTTTCCCCTTCCACTCCCATATCCAGTTTAGACAGTAAGACCTTTTGACTCTACCTTAAAAATATACCCCAAATCTCTCTGCTCTCCATCTCCACTGTTCCTACTTTGTCAGAATCACCATCTCCTCACATCTAAACTCTTAGAATAGCCTGCTAGCCCATCTCCCTGTGAAGAAGTTTATAGAGACTCTTTTTCTAGACATTATGGCAAATCATTAGTAGCCTCCCTCTAATTTACTCATTCATGTGTGTACGTGTGTACGTGTGTGAGTGGGTACACACCTGTCTTTTCTACAGGAATCCCCTGAGACTGCATGCCCTCTCACCTTTAAAAATTAAATTTAGTTAATTAATTAAAGTAATATACTGTGTACAGGTTCTACGAGTGGAGACTTGGATTTAACCTTGGGGGCAGAGAATGAGTTTTTTAATCCTAGAAATATAAACAAGGGAAAGATGAAAATCTGCCAAAATGATGCCTGAATTCAGATAGTTCAGACTGAGATATCCAGGGGTCTGACTATATAACTTGAATATTTTAATAGAGCTAGTTGGGACTGGGAACAACAAATTCTGATGGAAATTTTTTCTTTGGGGGCCACAAGGCAAGACCACCTACCTCTCCTGTTATGAGGATGCTGCTCCTGTAAGAAGAAAATAGAATTCTCACTTTTCAATCTCCTGGAAGAATCCTCTTCTGTGATAGGAAATGTTGTTTTAAAGTATAGCTTCAGACTCATTTGTGTTTGTGTGTGTATGTGTGTGTGTTCACAGCATGCACATATGTGCATATAGTTTGAATGGGAGGGATGCCCTCCTCTCCCCTAGGGTCTAGTGTGGTTGGGATAGATGTGGAGATGTGCAGAGATATCTGGGACACACCTTTTGGTAAAGGACAAGATGCCCAGGTAACAAGGCAGCAAACCAAGAGCTAGACAGACACAGAAGGGCCTGCATTTGTGGCCTCTGAGCCCTACTGGGCAGGGGTAGTAATAACTCATACTCCGTGCTCTATTGTCGTTCCACACAACTTCCAGAAAAGCTTGTCTCCGTGCACAGTGAAGTCCTGGTCTTACCCCTGCTGAGACTTGAGCCCCTTCTCCAGAAGTCCAGAGGCAGTAGTCTTGACAGTGTCATTGCAGAGATCAACTGGAATTAGAGATGGTGTATTTCCATGATGGAGGAGAACACGACAGGTGCCACAAGGCACATGTTCCTGAGGGTACAAGACAGCCCCATGGGACATTCAGAAATGCCTGAAGGGCCCTTGGAAATTGATAAACTTATGGCAAAGAGATGCAGCTTGGACTTTGCAATTTAGACATTTAAAAGGCAACTGACTTTTTTTTTTGAAGTCGCAGGCTTGGGAGGAAAAAGATTTGGGTTACTCAAACTAATACTAATACTCTTATTTTAAAGGTAGTTGATAATTGTTAAGGTTTTCCTATGGACCTATTTTAAGCCTTTGAAATTCTATAATTATTAGGAACAATTCCAGTTTTAGAATCAGTTTCTACTTTATCTATCAAATATTTTAATGTATAAACTTGAACCATCTTTTAGGTAGAGGATTGAACCAGGTGATCTCTTTAGAAGTGGAAGTCTTAGATTCTGTAACTACTACGATATCATCTAAGTAGTCTTGGTAACTTTAGAGCAGAGGTCCCCAATCTTTTTCGCACCAAGGACTAGTTTTGTGGGAGAGAATTTTTTTTATGACAAGGGTCAGAAGGTGGTTTTTGGATGTTTCAAGTGCATTACATTTATTGTACATTTTATTTCTATTATTATTACATTGAAATATATAATGAAAGATTATACAACTCACCATCATGTAGAATCAGTGGGAGCCCTGAGCTTGTTTTACTGAAACTAGATGGTCCCATTTGGGGGTGATGGGAGACAGTGACAGATCATCAGCCCTTAGATATTCATAAGAGGCACGCAACCTAGATCCCTCGCATGCAGTTAACAATAGGCCTCACGTTCCTATGAGAATCAGTGGTGACTGATCTGACAGGAGGCAGAGGTCAGGAGGTAATTCGAGTGATGGGGAGCGGCTGTAAATTCAGATGAAGCTTTACTCACTGGCCTGACACTCACCCCTGCTGTGCAGCCTGATTCCTAACAGGCCGTGAACTAGTACCAGTTCATGGCCAGGGGGTTGCGGACCCCTGCTTTAGCGTATTATGCTTCTGGAATTATCTTGTTAATAACTTCATTGAAACATAATTCTGGGTACAAAACAAGGGAACAATTCACAGTTCACTTAAGAATGAGCCAGACAGGCAAGAGCAGATCTGAAGTATCAAATCAAAGGGAGAAAACAGAAGTGAAAAGCAGATCCCAAACACCCGTAAAAACAAAATATATAGAGTGCCTGAGTCTCAACTTGTGCACAGGCAGGGAGTTGTGAACAATGCTGATGTCTTTGGTCAACTGCATCCTTCAGATCTTTAATAGGTTATTTCAAGGTTGGTACTAGTGATAGCCAACATCTGTATAGTCTTACTATGCGCTAAGCATGTTTAAGCACTGGACAAATGTTAACTCATTGAATCTCACAGTGGATCAGTAAAATAGGTGCTATTGTCTCAATTCTGCAGTTAGAAAAGGGAGGCATGGAGAGGCTAAGCAACTTTTCCAGGTAACTCAGCGAGGATGCACTGGGGTCAGGACCTGAACCCAGAGAATTTGGCTCTGGTTTTTGTGCTCTTAGGCGCTACACAAACTGCTTTTCAAAACTGTTACTGAGATGTTTTCTCCCTTCAGAAACCCAGAGCAGCCTATCTTGTCTCTATGAACTTGGACATGAAAGAATATCCTTTCGGCATCATGGTCACAGGAAAATGGTTCCTCCAGGAGTGACAAATTATTTGACAGCGTTTCCTGTAAATCTCTTCTCCTTTTCCACCACTATGGGGCAAGACAGAACAAGCCCATAGCTCCCATTTAAATGGTTACTGTCTCAACAGAAACCAAGAATTTCAAGTCTATTCTCTTCTTCTCTGTACTACCCTGTGTGAATTATACTCTCGGTATAATAGCCAATGGTTTGGGGCTTAATTTTTGGTTTCATCACATATCAACTGTATGATCTCTGTCAAGACATTTACCAGGTCTAAGCCTCAGTTTCCTCTTTAAATGGGGATAATAATAGTCCCAACCTCAGAGGATGTTGTGGGGATGACATTGACACAATGCATGTAAACGCCTCTCTACAGTTCCTAGCTTGCAGGAAGGTTTCAATAACTTCTAGCTTTTTGCTATGATTTTTGATTATGGTGGTTGATCATCATTATTATTGGAGGAAAAACAATATTAACTTTAAAAAAAACACTTGTTGTAATTTGGAAATTGAACATTTTCCATTTTTTAAATTTTAGGTGTTTCCAATGCTTTTTATTAGAATCATTTATTTTAAAAATTTCATGAAGACTTTGTAAGTATCTGGATCAGTGAAGTCCCTTCTAGGCATGCTGTATTCCCTATTTATGAGAGCTTTTCAATAAAAATGTTTCCTGTTGCTTTTCTTACCAGAGTCATATATGTTGCTATTATAAATTCACTGTAAACTGATGATGAAAACGATAATGATCATGATGACAATGTCAGCACAAACCCATTTGCTTTGAGCACTCGTATTCCAGGAGTACCTAATTTGGCTGAAGGTAATTCTGATTACGTCTCCGAGTGAATGAAGTGCTTGATGTTTTCTTTGCTCTTGGCAGATTGATCCGACCAATCTAAGCTTTTAGCTGTCCCCAGTGGGTTGGTATGGCTCAGTTTACTGATGCCATTCAGAGAAAAGAGAGTGTTTAGAAAACAACATTGGAACTTGCTTTTTCACTCGGCATTACTGGGCAGAACACTTCCCTGAAAAGAGCAGGCCCATCTGGGTGTGCATTCAATGGGATGTCACAGCCACAGCATCCATAGGATGTGCGTCCCCTTCACCCATAAGGCAGTTCCAGGGAGGATGTCTCACAGCTACACACAGTACTATTTTGTGGGTTTCTAACTTTCCATGCGTGAATAATTTTCTTCGAGTTTATAGGGCATTTATTTAGATTTGGAAACCTCTAGTCATGTCAAAATAGAAATGAATGGCAGCAACTTAAATCTTTTGCTCTATAAGCAGGAGAGGTAGTGAAGACACAAAAAGAGTCAGAAGTAGTGAGGGTCTTTTGACCATCCTGCCCATTCACTACTGCCTCTGCCCTCTCCATATCACTGACTTTGGACTGACTTACGGTGCACCCAACCTCAGCCTTGGTACAGGGAAAGTTGTCAAAGAGTCTCCCCTGGGAATGTCTCCAGACACTGCATTCCTGCAAAACCCACTGACTCAATATTTCACAGCCAGGAAAATAATGAAGCTCCCAAACGAGGCAAATTTCACACAATGAGTCTGGGAACAGATTGGAGAGTGTCTCTGTTCCCTTTAAAAAACCAAACAACAGAGATACTTGAAAAAGACTCATTCATCAAACACAAAGGCCAGCTTCCCCTGGGAGTCCCACCTTCTTCTCCTTTCAGGAATGAGTCTATTGATTTCCCTGTTCTGAAGCCCCAACTTGCCACCCAGCAAAGAGCAACCAATGCTGCAAAATATTGAATGTACAATAAAGTCTTTTCAACACCGCTGTGTTTAGGACAGAAACAAACTAGCATTGGAAAATGTTACTCTTAATTTAATTTAGGTTTTTGTATAAAGCACGGATGTATGTAGATAATCACAGCCAATAGTCTCTTTACTAGCATAAAATCTACATTTTCCACGGTTAGCAGAGAGCTGCACTTGTATAACACATTCAACTATTTATATCAGATATAGCCTGTTTATGAAAAAATATCCCTTCAAGCTTTTTGAATACTAATAAATTATCTTCCAAAATAGTAATTTAGAGAGCTTAGGTGTTTTTCTTATGTTGTTTTTTTGTTTGTTTCCTGTTTTATGAGTGTGGAATATTTTATGTCCCATAAATTGCTCTAGGTCAGAGGCACTTTATATGGGTTGCCATGGAAACCAGATGATGACCCAGACTGGAAGAGGAGCTCATGTTTATCTAAGAGAAGATCCCTTTTCCCTGGAAGGGTCCTGGCAACCTAGGATGCCTGTGGGCTGTGCAGACCCTGGCACAGCAAACCCGGGACAAGTTAAATACCAGAAAACTTGATGGACTTCCTGATTGAATACAACCATGTTTTCCAGATCTACACTTAATTCATTCATTCATCATGGATTTTTAATTTATTGGATAACTATTAGGTATTCCGTTATGTCAGGGAACAAAACGAATTCCCCATCCTCACAGAGTTAGCCTTCTGGTGGTGCAGACAATGTTAAACAATGAGTGGTCAATGCAGTGAGGGAAGATACAGCAGAATACATGCTAGAGACTGATGGCAGTGTTATTCAGGGGGGTGCGGGGAGGGTGAATGGGGGTAAGAAAACTGCTGAGACTAGAGTGGAGGGAATGAGAGCTGAGTGATGGAGCACGGGTCAGGAAGAATAGGCACGGGCCAAACCACTGAGGCCTCATAAACTTTTATGCCAAATGTGATGAGAAGCAATGTACATTTACTGACATCCTTAAAGTTCTGAGCTTTCATGCTCTGGGCACTTTAAAGATAGTAGATAAATAATAAATGAAGATCAACGTTGGGCACAGCACAAAAATCTGACACGTAGAAGACTTTTGAAAATGTTGCTGTATCTCATGCTTCTGAAGGGTTAACTATGCTCGTTATATCAACTGTGCTTCCTGCCTGGTTCTCCAGGCCCCACTGGCTGGCAGCTGGAGTCCTGTGAATTATGCACTTGAATGACGCCGTGCTCTGCCAGAACCTAGATGGTGTGCTTGGCAAGCACACCTGAGAGTGGACTTAAACACACCTTCAGAGCCACTGCTTGATGATCCAGATGAAAAATGGCCTTTTTAGATCATGGAGTTTCCTTTGCTTAATAAGAGAAAAATAATTTCTCTAGGCAGTAAGAGGGGAGGTGCTCTGTTATGCAGGACAGCCTTTGAGGCTAATGTGTGTGAACAGTGATAATGTCAGACAGTGGACAGAGAGAATCAAGGCTGGCTTCAGTGAGCAGAGGAAACAGGGACAGCCTGTCTTCTGCTTTTGGGGAGTGTCAGAAAATCCTTTGATATATTGGCCAGTCTGCTCTTTCTTTCCACCTCACTTTGTCATACAGAAAAGGACCCAATTTTTAAATAATCAGCCATTCACTTGGTCACGTTTCTTTTAAGAAAAATGTAGGTGTACCAGGTAGGGAGAGAATGGTCCACACCCCCACTGTTTAACAAAAGGTCTCCATAGCACAGAGGAAATGTCCTGCCATATTTCAGCTTCTGCTTAAGAGTTTTCTTTGGAAAGAGGCCATGCTGTAGTCAGACAAACTCAGGACTGAATCCCAGTTCATCTATCTTCTAGTCGTGCATGCTTGGGCAAGTTATTACTTTCATGCAGCCTAAGTTTTCTTGCCTGAAAAAAAAATTCCCTCCTTATAAGCTTTAGGATTAAAAATTATATACCTATACCTCTATGACCTGACATCTAGTAGGCACTTAACTGATGGTCATAATTTTTATCATTGTAATTAATAATTCAAATCTTATAATTTTTAGGTCCTTGTGTCACGTACCCCTAGCAATCTTCAGGATTCAAGTTCAATAATGTCTGGAGAGTGAAGAATCTTCCAGAATTAGAATCCCTGTGCTCTATACATTAACAGAGGTCATGGTTCATATGTTGGAAATGTAACTCCCAATGCCAATAGTGTTTGGTGATGGAGCGTAGTGGGAGCTGTTTTCAGGAGGGCTCTCTCTCCTGAGTGGCTTAATGTTATCTCGGATTGGGTTTGTTATAAAATTGAGTTTGGCCCCCATCTTGAGCTTTCTTGGGCTCACTTGCTCCTTCCATCATTGGATGACATAATACAAAGGTCCTCACCAGATGCCAACCCCTTGATCTTGAACTTCCCACCCTCCAGAATCATGAGCCAATAAATCTCTCTGTGGAATACTGTTACTGGAGCACAAAACAGGCTAAGACATGCATGTATTGTTCTCAATGATCACTAGAAAACACTGGGTTTGTGTGAGGGAGATGGCAGTGTCAGTGAGGACAGAGTTTTGTTGATGACTATAAACATAATAATGGAAGGCTGGTCAGATCTTCACAGTTGTCCAAGTTGGACAAAGATAAAAAAATACTCAGCTCTCAGAGGTGAGAGGGCCTGGGCTGTCCCTCTACAAGATAATCACCCCTTGACTGACACAGAGAGACAGGAGGCCTTTCCATCTTGGGCTCAATTTTGCACACATTGTAGAGAACTGCAGGAAAAATGAAGACATCCTGAGTTTGGGCTTTTACCAACAAATGATTTCACTAATGCCAGGACACTATTGAATCCTACAATACTCTGAAAAGACAAATATAGGGCATCGGTTTGTTTCATATTTTTGTAACCTCTAAAGTAACACACACACACACACGCGCGCGCGCGCGCGCATGTGCACGCACACCAAATCTTTCTAATATTTCTAAGTAAGTGTTATTTTGTTATTCAGTGCCTTTTATCAGGAAGATGAAAGGAATTTGTAAAAGCAAAGACATCCTAAAATAAAAACTAGAGGAGTCTAAGCAGAAAGAAATCTTACCAGTTGACTGTCATTCAACATCTTTTTTAAAAAAGTAAATGTGTTTTCTGTTTTTAATCATTTAAGAAATACATTTTCCTTTTAAAAAGATTATGTCAAACCCAAAGCGATATGCTTAACTTTTAACTTATTCACTATCATCCCTTTACAAAACAGCTTTCTTCTCCAGTTCTCAGAACCTGAAATGTGTTTCTTTTAATCCAAATTATTCTTTTATTAAAAAAATTAATTTACTTTTTGTCAATACATAATATCTGTACATAGTTTTGTAGTACATGTGATAATCTGATACATCCATATAATCAAATCAGGGTAATTGGGATGTCTATCACTTGAAGTATTTATGTTTTCTATATGCTAGGAACATCTCAATTATTCCCTTCTAGCTTTTTTTTTTTTTTTGAGACCAAGTCAGGCTGGAATTGCAGTGGTGTGATCTCAGCTCACTGCAACCTCTGTTTCCCAGGCTCAAGTGATTCTCGTACCTCAGCCTTCCAAGTAGCTGGGATTACAGGTGTGCACGATTGCGCCTCGCTAATTTCTGTATTTTTATTTATTTTATTTTTTTAAATTGCATTTTAGGTTTTGGGGTACATGTGAAGAACATGCAAGATTGTTGCATAGGTACACACGTGGCAGTGTGATTTAGTAGAGATGGGGTTTCACCTTGTTGGCCAGGCTTGTCTCGGACTCCTGATCTCAAGTGATCTGCCTACTTTGGCTTCCCAAAGTGCTGGGATTACAGGAGTGAGCCACAGTGCCTGGCCCCTATTTTGAAATATACAATTGATTAATGTTGGCTCTAGTCACTCTACTGATCTATTGAACACCAGATCTTATTTTTTTAAATCTAAATGTATATTTGTATTCATTAACAACCAAAGTTATTCTTAACATAAATTTCAATGCATTTCTTTTTAAACTAGTTTTCGTCAGCCGCAAGAAATGCCTTCCTAGGTTGTGCACCCACTCAGAAACAATCTCACAGGTGATTTCTTCATCAAGGTGATTCCTTTATCAAGGAAGGAGGAAATGAGGGTGGTGGCTTTCTTTTTAAACTAACCACTCAGTTTTATTAAAAAGTATCCTTGAAATTTTACAAACAATTTGTCCAAATGTCTAAAAAGTCCTTTGAAGCTGCAGAAAAATGACTTTCAAAAAATATGTTTTTAATCCTTTCCTCTCTGACTCATAAAATCAGAGGTCGGGAGGAGGATGGCGTGTGGAAGAAGAAAGGCAACTGAGCCTGCAGTACCAACGGTGTGTCTTGAGTTGCATTTTATAAACTGTCTTGCCACCTCGACCTCTGACAAAAGCCAGCAATAGTTCACCCAAAGGTAAATCAAATGCCTGAAGAACTCTCTTGCTAAAGGTTCAGCAAACTGCCTTTTTTCCTGCTGTAACTAGGAGACTGGATAGTTTGAACTCAGTGTTGAAAACATGAAGTGGTTTCATTTATTTAACTTTTTCAGCTGTGGCCTTCAACCAGGCTCTGTCAAATACCATTTTCCTGTTCCTTAATGATACCTGAGCAAGATCCTATAAACTTCTGATCAGTTGCAGTTACAAAAAGTCTAGGCCAGTTTAAAACTCGAATTTCATATCCAACTTAAATCTTCTCTCTTTCTTTTCTCTGGTGCAGAGGCTGGGCGATGACTCAAGGGATACCCCATGGGTACAGAAAATGTTCTGCTTCTGGGTACCTCCACCTCCATCTCCATCCAAAAATCTTGCTCTTTGGTGGGTTTGGGTCAGTGAGGAGGGATTAAGTGAATTCTCTCTGGGGGTTTAGGTTTTCTGATTTTTGTATCTTGTACTAACACTGATACATTCTTAGCATCTCTTGTGTGACAGGCGTCCAAATGTGGATCTTGGGTGCCAGGCCAGGGTGTGCTCAGTTCCTGGAGGTGAGAGGCCAGGCTCCTACTCGACTTCTCCCATTCCCAGCAGTACTCTTTCACCCTTATACACACCAGTGCATCCTGAGAAACTTGGGAGCCTCGTTGGCTGGTGGAGAACTCTCAAAACAGCACCAGCCTATCTGTGGTCTCTGTGGGAATCACTGTCATCCTTGCCATTCCCTGCAGTGTAAGTACAGTGGCCACTTCTCTCTGCTTTCCTCTGCCATTTTTCTTTTATTCCCTTTTCCCCAGGTGAACAAAGCTCAGAAAGTGAACTGCTGGTTTGCTCCTTAAGTAGACATCCACCCAACCAAAGAGGTACCAGTCTTCCACTCTTGCCAGCACTCACTCTTCTCTTCAATGCAATGTTCTCTTGGCTTCGAGAATGGGAAGGCACCCTTCCTGCCCCCAGGAGAGAGTATTCCCTGTCACAATGAGCATGGCATCCATTGAGGGGTCCCAAAAAGTCCAGAAATATTATTCTGTCTTCTTCTTTTCCACTTGGGGCAGAAGTGGTTCTGACAGCAGGGCCTTTCCCTCTAGAATCCCTGAGGGAAGTGTCTGCTCCCAGTTGTTGAGGGTCATCTTAATTATGTGGAATACACAAACCCCTGTGTTCTCACATTTCACCCCTTCTTGCCCATTCCAAGGGAACAGAAAACAGGTCCATTTAATATTCTTTTCTACTACTATCCAAATGTCTCCTGAAACTCACATCCATCAAACCACAAGCTTTTTCAGACTGACCAACGCATTCATTCATTTAACAAATATTTATTGAGTGCCCACTCTACACCAAAAGCTATTCTAGGCACTAGAGATGTGGCAGTAACCAGGATTGATGGGGTTACCTCTTTCAGACAGCTTACACTCTACTGGAGGTGAACTCTTGAAACAGGTGCAGATTTTAGCTTGGGCTACCAAGATGGCAAAATAGGGTGTGGTAGAGGATGCTTGTAGGAGAGAGGATGTCACTTAAGATTGGTGGCTAGAGAAGGCTTACCTGAAAGTGTGATCCTTGAACTGAACCCAGGTGATTCCCAGGCAGGGCAAGTACAAAGGCCCTGGGGTGGGAGCCTGTTTGTCTTGTTCAAGGAATTGAAAGATAAGCAACTAGGTGGTTTTCCTATTCTCATCTTAGAAGTTCAATCTCCCAAGATGTTGTCCTCTGTCCTTAACTTGTTCTAGGCCTGTACAGGAGATGAAGAGTTCCACTGTGCCTTACATTGCTAGTCCACTCTACATATGGTAGCTATTACAGCTGTCCTTTTAGACTTAGAGATTTAGTTTTTATTTAATTAAACTAGGTCATTAATTTTAGAGGCAAGGTCTATGTTGCCCCAGCTGTACTTGAACTTCTGGACAACATAGTGAGTGATTCTTCCACCTCAGGCTCTCGAGCAGCTGAGACTACAGGTATACATCACTGAGCCTTAATTAGACTTAGAAATTTTAGACAGGAGGGAGCCCTTTTCACCATCTATTTGGGTCATGTGCCTGGGAGGGTCTTTATTAGAAGGGTATTGTAGTTCTGGCCAAATTGCCACCATGTAAACATCGGCCACCAGGCAATAGAAGAATGAAGCTGGAAGGCTCTCCATGCCTGATGCCTTCCCAATGTGGTTTACAGGTGAATTCACCTGTATACATAAAATATGTGTACTATGCTTTAAAGCATTATACAAATAACAGTATGTTATTGTAAGGCTTACTTACGAAAGTATGGATGATGAATGGAAAAGAACTAAGCTTCAAGAAAATTCTAGGTTGCCATTTCTCCAGTTGGTTTATTACTTTAAAATAAGGGAAACTCCTTGGAAAATTGTCCCTTTTGTAAAATAAAATCAGCTTCATAACTTTCATACCTGAAATGGCATATTTATTAACGGCAATTAAGAAATATGAATAAAGAGATGGAATTTGAGAGTTGAGAGACTCGTTGAGACCATTAATGACAATATTCTCTCTTATAGATGAGACAACAGATGTGCAAAAATGTTTAAGCAGCATTCCAAAGGCACAGAGCATTTGTAATCATCAGAACGGAACTGGAATCCAAATCTCTTTACTAGCAGTCTACTAGACTTGCCACTACGTTGCAGTACCTCTAAAAAGTGTTACTTGATATACATTATGTCAAAGGCCAGTGCCAACTGTGTTCTCAGCACAATTAGATGAGAGGTATGGTAGGCAGGCTCCAAGAGGGTCTCTAGTGATCCCTGCTTCCTGACATTCCCCTTCTACACTGTTCCAGAGTTGGTCTGCATGGCCAACAGAATATAACAGAAGCGACTGCTTTTATGTCATTTCCAATATGGGTTGTAAAAGACTGTGGCTGCCATATTGGCGTTTTTCTCTTGGATCATGACCTCAGGGGAAAGCCAGCTGCTTTGTCATGAGATTGCTCAGGCAGCCTTTGGAAAGGCCCACATGAAAAGGAAGTGAGACACTCAAGCAACAGCCAGCAAGAAACTGAGTCTTGCCCACAATCACATGAGAGAGCTTGGAAGCAGATCTTTCAGCCTCACACACCTATAGCCCTAGCCAAGAGCTTGACTGCAATTTCACAAGAGATCCTGAGCTTGAACCACCCAGCTAGGCTGCTCCCAGATTCCTAACATCCAGAAACTGTGAGATAATAAAAATTCATGATTCATGTTGCTATTCGGGAGGGCAATTATTTGTGCAGAACAGATAACTAATACAGGTGCTGTGCTTTAATTCCTTGAAATCATCCTAGGTACCATGTGATGGGCTGCATTACTTAGTGACAATGCTACCTTCTCACTCTTTGCGCAGGGGAGAGACAGGCACCTGCTTGCTCCGGGACCTGCCTGAGCTCAGGCTCTGCCACAGGGATGAAGAAGTTGGAGAATGTTTCTGCCAAATGCTAACAACGCCTCCTCAAGGACAATTCATGGAGGGTGTTTGCCTGTGCTCAACTTCCCTTGGTAAAACTGTGACAAAGGCATGGCAGCAGTTTGATGTTCACAGAGAAGGGTGAATACAAAGCAGTGCTTTAGGCAGACTTCCTTTAAACATGAACAATCTCCTGCTGCTGTCTTACGGGTTCAGAGGACTGGAAATTTCCAGAGGCTGCTCTTTCCATGCCCTGTTACAAGTTTATTCTGGAGTCTGTAGAAAGAATTCTTGAAAGAGACAATGGATAAAATTCAGAGAGAAGGGTCATAACTTTAGTTGGGGGAAAAATTACATTCTTATCTTCGCTAACGTTTTTATTTTTTTGAGATGGAGTCTGGTACTGTTGCCCAGGCTGGAGTACAGTGGCACTATCTTGGATCACTGCGACCTCCACCTCCTGGATTTGAGCAATTCTCCTGCCTCAGCCTCCCAAGTAGCCGGGATTGCAGGCAACCACCACCATGCCCAGCTAATTTTTGTATCTTTATTAGAGACGAGGTTTTACCATGTTGACCAGGTTGGTCTCGAACTCCCAACCTCATGTGATCCTCCCACCTCGGCCTCACAAAGTCCTGGGATTACAGATGTGGGCCACTGTGCCTGGCCTCTAACTTTCAA